GACTGGTAGCCAGACCCTCAGGCAGCAGCTTTTAAAGTCTGCAAATATATACAGTCCTACGGGCCACAATTGTAACCCTTGCTGGTCTCTAGACCAGGAGATGTGGGGGTCCCCTTGTTGACATGGCAAATCTTGATCCTTTCTAGATTTCATTCCATCTTTTTCCATAGATATCTACCAAAAGAAGGACTTCTAGTTAAAGGATCTAGTTCTCTAACTTAACAGTAGGAAACCCAAGAATCTTTAATTGGGGGGGGGCAGTCACAATCAAGGATTCCAAGTTCCATGTTTGAGCTTCAACCATAGGCCTTCCCAGTGTTTGCCACCCCCCTCAAAGATGTACTCATGGGACCTCTGCTGGCAACCTGAACCAGGAATGCCGGTCAGCAGATCCCCACCACTCTGAGCTACTTCCAGGCCATTCAAAAACCTGAATGTGAGGAGAATGTTCTGGATACTTAAGGCTTTTGGATGATTCTTCCCCACGCAGGGAAGAACTCTGGGCAGTTAGTGCCTCTTCCTTGACAGCCCCAGGGTGCATGCTAGTCCCCGTGTAAGTACTGTTGCACAGGTCTTTCACTGACTTATTTGTATACCCCTCAATATCATCCGTGTTCCTACCCTCAACCACTGGGCTGGCATCCTCACACACACAGAGGCATTCCGCCTAGGCCAACGAGCCCTACCGAGCTTCAAAATGCATAGCCCTCCATAGGAGTGAGATGCTCAGACTCCTCTTCCTCCAAAGCTCAAGCCAAGAGAGAAAACTTACTTCTGTTCTGTCTCCAGGAGAAAGAAACAAAACCCCGGCAAATCCCCAGGTAGAAATTTTCCTTTTACAGTTGTGATACCACCTGCAGGAACTGTCACTCCACCCCTCCCAAATGCACAGACACTCATGTGCCCCTTGGTAAAGGTAGCTGCGTGCCAAACAAGTAATGTTGGGAATGGCGCTGGGCCCTGGATCAGGGGACTTATCACCTGCTTCTTCCCATTAGAGTATAAATTCTTTGGAATAACAAATTACTTCTGGTATTTTCTTTGTCATTCCCCAGTGCCCACTCTGGTGCTGCCCTGTGCCTAGCAGATGTTCAAGACACACCACTGACAACATAAACTGAGTCCTAGCACTTGTAAATATGAAAATGCCCACATTCATTGTTACGGGTCAGGAGTTTCTTTGTTTTTCTAAAGATGTCTTGGATTGTGTGTGTGTGTGTGTGTGAGAGAGAGAGAGAGAGAGAGAGAGACAGAAAGGGATGAAGGCAGAATGGACGATGCACAGGGATGACAACCCCTGAGGCCGCAGTGAGCCAGGCTGGCACATGGGGACGGGTGGAGCTCCGGCCAAGTACATTTATACGCACGCATCTATTTCTGAAGGATGGACCAACAACCTGGTTCAAGACCTCATGATTTCTGTTGCTTTATCCACTGCCCCCAGCTCAACTGCAGGGAACACAGGCTCCAGGGGCATCTACTCTCAGTACAAGCGCACAGACATCAGAAAACACAACCCGTACCTTTGAAGAAGATGCCAGAGCTTTTCCTTCCAAAGCATAAACTCCTTCACAAAGCGAGGCATCCATTCTGGGCTTGCTGACATGTGAGTGGGGCGGCCTGACACCAGTGCCAGAGAGGCCTGATCTCAGAAGATGCCCCATGGCCCACTGAGGACAGGAGGCCCCACGTGGCAGAAAGAGCCACCACAGCTAAAGAGATGGAGGGTCCAGACACGTGATGTCACCCTTGAGGTGTCCATCCGGGCCTGCGAGAGGAGACACAAGCCCGGCCAGTCTCTGCACCATGATGGGGACATGGGGTGCCAGAGGGGCAGTGAGCGGCTCCTGTCCACCACACATCCCCTGCAGTGGAGAGCTTCACAGGGTCAGCAGCCAGTCTAGAAAGACGAACCCCTTCCTATGTGTTAGTGCTTCCAAATTGTTTGACTCTGCAAGAAAAGGTTATAAAAACATCACACTGCTTGCCCACGAGGCTGCAAAGTGATCAGAACAAGCTAGTTAGGTGATGTACCCTGACGATAACACGCGCGAGCTCTGACAGGACAGGGACCCATGTCGGGGTCCCAGTGCACCCGTTTCCCAGCTATGTCATTTGCTGAGTTTCTGGAACTTTACAAGCCCGGGCTGGCCCATCTGTGAAGTGGGTCAAAACCAGCGCCTGCCTCACAAGGCGCTAAGTGGCTTGCCGCATCAAACCTGTGGCCACATGCTAAGCTCTCAGAACCAATGGCATCACTGGTGCTGCTGAGCACTTCCTCCTGACACGTGGGATTCACCTTCCACACGAGCACCAGAACACCCTGGGCAATCCCGAGTGTGCACAAAAGTGTGGGTACTGGGCTCACATGGCCACGCCCAGGTTCTCACTTATTTATTTAATGTGCCTCTGCACAGAATTCCGAGCAGAATGATAACGGTGGCCCTGGAGGGAACACCCAGCATGTGCCACATGCCTCCCTAAATGTGTGATGTTCATGCTGGATTCTCACGGTGTCAGGAGGCATGATGACCATCTGCCCCATGCGACAGGTGAGGGAACAGGGCTGAGAGAGCTAAGTGATGCACCCCACAGCAAAGCCATCATGTGGCAACCCACTATGTGAGCCCGGCCAGTTAGACGTCAGTCCACGCTCTTGCTCAACACTGCACACTGCCTCCCAACCCACTTGGGGACCCCGTCTCCTGGTTGTTGGTGGGTGTGGAGAAGGCTTGGGGTAGGGACCATAGCCGACGCACTGGTGGGTCCCAGGGAGCCCCAAAACGGAAGAGAAACACTTCCCTGGCACAGCCAACCAGACCCAGGCGCTGAGGGGTCAGATCACCCCTACGTTTAAAAGCCCCTGAAGGCTCCATGCTTCCCAGCACCATGCAGTGGATTTCCCTGGGACATCAAGAAAAATCAGACTGTGTGCTAAGAAAGATGGGAAACTGAAGGGGGAACCAGGTGACAGAGGCAAGGGGCAGAGTCCCTGGGGATGGGTCACTGACAACAGATGCCCCGTGACAGCATGACCCCTCCTTTCAAAGACCACGTATGACTCCAGTAAGGCTGAAGAAACAGCAACATCTGATGCATCTGGATAATCTTCCATGAATCCTTGCCTGGTACCCCGACCCATCGTTCAACTCGGCCCCGTTTCTATCAAGTCTCGAAACATGAAAATCCTTCAGTCAGCGCTGTGCCTCTTGGTTCTGAATCCCAGTTTTGGCATATTTGCCCAGTTAGCAGTTCAAGGTCCCACGAGTGCTTCCACCAGATACTTTACAGGGAGAGCAGACATGCGAAGATTATTCAACACATACATATGTACGCGCACGTGTGTACACATGTGTACACATGCGCATGTACATGTGCACGTGTATGCACACACACATGCACGCAGCCATACATGCGCACACGCACACACACCAAAACCTCAGGAGAAAGGCCACTGTGGCCTTTGGGGCAGCGGTCACCCATGGCCATAGCCCTTGCTGGCGGAGGAAGGGGCTGTGCTCCAGCTCTGTGTTCCAACCTTAGCTACCAGCTGCTAACACTAGGGTCTGTTTTATTTGCTCCCTTCAGATCCTCCAGACTCCACAGAAACAGCTCTCAAAGTTTCAAAATGAAGCTTATCGGAAGGTAACCAATTGAAAAACATTTAAACCAAACTTGTCAAGATCTTGAAACAGGCATCTCCAACTGATAGAATCGTAACCATGACACCGTCCACCCAATCTAGTTCTGGCTTTTTAAGCAGCGAGACACACCCCCAGGCCCAAAGGAGCCCCTTTCCTTATGTCCCAGGCTCACCTCTACCTGCCTGCACTTCTGGACATGGGGGACACCCCATCCCTGCAGGTGAGGGTCCCCAGATTTAACAGGTGAAAGTACTGGGTGCTCAGTTATGTTTGAATTGAGAATTTAACAAATGAGTTAAGTCCCATGAAATATTGAGAGCATGCTCAAATTAAGAAATGATTTGTCATTTATCTGAAATTCAGCTTTTACCAGGCATACCGTGTCTTACCTGCCACATGCACTGGAGGCCCAACCCCAGGGACCTGGGATGGGTGGGGGCCGGACTCATGAGGGCATGCCTGCTGCTGTCCCAGGGGCCCCCACCTGCCCTTCTCCCAGCACTGCTTTAGGATGCCCCCCTGGTCTCTTTTGGCGGTCAGCACTCCACATAACCCATGGTCCAGTGGCATCTTCTCTGCTGCATGCACACCCTTGAAAGAATGTTATGTGATCGTGTCTTGTTTCCAGGAAAAGCTCCAGGGGGCTCCTAACTGGAGCCTGCTTTTGTTTTCCTCTTCCCCTTCATAGACCCGTCCTGCACACTGTGCTCAGAGGCCAACACGCAAATCAGTGTGTGTACTTCAGTCATAATTTCAAGACCCACATGAAATTGAGAGCTGAACCAGTATGCCCACCTTTGCTAGCAGGAGACCCCTCAGACCCGGGCCTGCTGCTGTCCCTGGATGCCCTGTCCCCTCACTACTGCGAACCACTGCTCAGGGTAATGACACACATTCGAGGAGAACAGGAAGAAAGGAGCCCTCAGCTCCAGGCTTCCCAGCATGTGCCAGCCACGGCTCGAGCCAAGCCATAAAATGTACAGGAATAGGGAGAAGCATGGACAACACAATAAAGCAAGGGAAAAATGAACGACGCCATAATACAGTCTGTTTTCATTTCGTGCAGAGAAAATTAATTTTTTAGGACATTTCACTTAACTTGGCAATATTTTATGGTTTAACCTCTGATGCCTGAAGCTCCTCTCTTTCATCCCCTTAAGCCTCAAAGCGGGGAAGCCCGTTTTACGACAAGCTGTAGGTCCTGCTTCTTGGGGGATGACCAGCCTCACAGCCCAGCTGAGGGCTGTGTGCACTCAAGGAACGGGAGTTGCGCTGACCAGGGTTCCCAGCTCGTCACCTCCCGCAGGAGCACCCGCTGTAACTGTGAGTTGTCCTCCCGAAGAGTGGACACATTACCTTCCAGAGCAAGGCACCGGGGTGGGCTGGTCGACCAGATGAGGCTGTGTAGGCACTCGAGGTGCTCGGCCCCCTCCAACTTGTACCCAGGGAAGCAGTGGTAGGAGATGACCGTCCCCACGGGGAAGGAGGTCTGCAACTCGGAGATGTTCGCGTAGCCATTGGAAGAGGCAAGAGGTCTCAGGCAGCCTGTGGCGAGGAAAAGAGGAGGGACGGTCGCACTTGGTCCCCTCTGCACCAACGAGACCCGCAAAACCCTGGCCCCCTGCCCGCCTCCAAGGGCTCTTCAGCCAGACGCCCGTACCCACTTTCCTGTTCGATTCATGTTGCAGAATTTGGCGTCACGCTTGCAAACCACACAGAGAGGCCCAGGGGAGGAGGGAGGAAGTGAAGAGGGGTGCAGCTGGGATCAGGGAGCCCCAGACACACCTCAGAATCACCCGGGAACCTTTAAGCAACACCATCCTGGCTGCGAGCCCTAGGTCTATGCACAGCCAGGGCACCCCGACTTTTTAAAATCTCCCCAGGTGATGCTTACATGCTCTTGGGGGTGAGAAGCACTGAGGTGCTGTGCAGCAAACATACACCCCAACTGTTTCAACAATGGGGACACCTGGGGGCTCTGAGGAGTCAAGTCCCCTGCTTGGACTGTGAGGCAGGGGCCTGCAGACCCTGTGTGATGCCACATGAAGATCGATTTGCATTTTAGGTGCACTTGACATGGTTCTCAGCCTTGAGAACTACCCAGAAAAAGGGCGTCTCAAAACACACCCCGCTGGGCCCTCCCGCGGAGCTCCTGGTCTGGGTCTGCGCAGAGCCCGAGGACATGCACGGCAGGCATGGGGCTGGGCGCCGCGAGCCCCCACGGTACACCCAGAATTCTCCATGCTGTCTGTGTCCCCACACTTCTGCTTCTGCCAAATGGAAGCTGCTTTTCCGTGTCGAAACCCGAGCTGCCTGGGGAACATTCCCAGCAGCACAGAATCCCGTTCTGTGTGGCCCCCGCTGCGATCCTGGCATTTCCTGTTGGTGTCAGTGGTCTCACTAGAGGAAATAATGACCCTGCAGAGCTGGGGCTCTTCCCGCGGAGAACTAATTGTGTGTGAAGTAAATAACGTATAATGGAAATCCCGACTCTCCCTTCCAGTCACCGAGCATGGATCACAGCATGGCAGCAGATGTCTGAGCTCTGCTCCCGAGCTGGCTTGCTTTGACATTCTGAGCCTTGAACGGCTTCATGCTCCGCCGACTGCCCTGGTCAGTGAACTGGTACATGGGATCTACGTTTTGGCGTGAGACCAGGGGGAGGCCAGGGCAGCCCTGGCATGCAGAACTTAGGGAAACGCTCCCTTTGGGGCTGACAGTGTCCCGTGCCACAGAGATCCACAGACCTACTACCACCCAGGCCACATCTGAGACATGTGGCCACGTCCTTTCTCCACAGCCTGGAAGGATTTACCAGTTGAGCTGAACATGAACTGTGTTCACAGGAAAAGTGAAATGTCAGGGAGGAGGGGGAGATTGGGACTCAGAAATAAACAGAATCCGTAACTGAGAAAAGTAAGATAAGCATGTCAACATGAACAATTGACAGTATCAGAGTCCCTAAGTGCCGTTCAAATGAGCTGGCACAAGGGACAGTGCCCATGGCTCCTCCCAAGAAGGAGTGTCATTCCTGGCCACTCCCACGGAGAAGCCGGAGTCCCCTGAATATAAAACGGGCAGACCCACAGTGAACAGCAGGCACGTCTGGACACTGCTCTCCAAAATACAAAGTCCCCAAGGAAAACATGGCCTTGGAACATGCCCACCTGCTTCCCTGCCCGAAAAGAAGCCAGAAGGGGTTGTAACTCCAGTAGTAAACCAGGGAAAGAGAGACATGCTCCTTGGCTGGGGACAGCCCATCCCAAGCATGGCAGCAGACACCAGGCTTTGACACAATAGCTTGGTGCAATCTCTATTTCACTTCCAGACCATGGCGAGCCGGCATGTCAGGCTCTCTCCCCTGGATCTGGAGGTGCAAAGAAAAGCCACAGGACGAGACGTCATGTTAAGGGCCAGTCATGCTTCCCCTGGCGCTCTGAGGTGTCAAGCCATCTAAGGCCGCCAAACCCCTCACGCCCATGCCGTGCTGGGCAGTCACTGCTCGGGTGGCCAGGCCCACACCTGCCTCTGCATGGAGATGAGGTCAGGGCGCAGACCAGGGGACATGCCCTGATGGAGGGTGGTGTGGGTGACGGTGCTATCCGAGGAAGGGCACCTTCCAAGAGTAGCCAGCCGGCTCTGGGCGACGCTCTGAGATGCGAGCGCAGGGTGGTGGATGGAGGGGCCTGGTGAGTGAGCCGGAGGCCACCCCTGAGCCTGTGATGAGGACGCCACCCTCGGGCATTTCTTAAATAATAGGGACCAAAAGAACTCATAAATAGGTGCACAGTATTTGCAAGACCTAAGAGGAAGAAGCCTCTAGAAAGGGCAGGAGAACAGGGGGCAGGGGGGGATGCGGGATTCATGAAGGCAGAGGGGACTGGCATCCAAGGGAGTGCTCTTGGCCCCGGGAAGGAAAGGGACCAGTGGTTGGTAACGTTCACGTGAACATTCAGCCCAACCTCAGATCACACGACAACTCTCCACAGCCTCTCCAGAAGTGCCCCCAGAGCACATATATCCCTGGAAATGTCATCTGTGCAGGTCACGTGGCACAGGGAGTTTCAGCAGAGAAGCGCACAAGGGGGTGGCCTGGCTGCCCTTGGTCCTCCCGATCCATAGCCTTTGTTTCTGCAAAGGGCCATGACTCTTAAGCCCTCACAGAAGGAAATAATTCATTTCCGACCCCAGGGCACGCAGAGTAATAGCAGAGCCTGCCAGTCATGACCTCAAGCCCAGCGCTAGCATTCGTCTCGACCAGAACACACCAAGGCTCCGGCGCAAACAAGCCTGCTCCCCGAAGAATGAATTATGCACTGGCTTTCAAGTCACACGTCAGAAAAATAAAATCAGAATTAATGTGCACGCGAGGACTTATTTTCACAAACAGGGTCCTCCATGTTGGCCCGGGCAAATGTTAAAAAGGCAAGAGGATTCTTATTTACTGTGTAGTTCGGATAAAATCTGAATTTGATTATTTTTCTGCTCCTCATGCATTGTAAAAATGGATAACGTTAAGAAAAAATAGCCTCTGTAAAGATTCGCCTTTAATCTACCCTCACCACCTCTGAAATAAGTATAAACGTTCTGCTGTTTTCATTAAAAATGCCATAGTTCATCATCGTGTTCACAGCCCCGTTACAAAATGCCTATTTCTTAAAAGACTTTTGGTTCTCGGTGTGAAGGAGAAGTCAACATTCTCAAGAACAAGGGCTCTGCTGGTCTGGGCTCTCACGGTGGGCATGTGGGGCTGGTGGGGACCGCAGGGAGGGTGTGGGGACGCCAAGGCCAGAGCCGGTGGGCTCTGCTTCCCTCCACGTCCCAGTGGAGAGACAACGCACGTGCTCCCAGCCTGCGCCCCTACCTTGACAGAGCGGCAGGTTGTCCCACGTCCCGTCATCACGGCACAGAGAAACCATGTTGTACAGATCAGGGTAGCGAATCTTGAATCCCTCGTGACAGGTGACGATCAGCTTGTCTCCGTGTCTGTATGTCCTGTTATGAATCTCAGCATCGTCGATTTGAGGGATACGGCAATCTGCAAAGGTGTAAAAAGGACACGTTATTTTTTTAAATTTCAGCCTGTTGTGCTTCCCAGCTTGGCACAAAGCTCTTATTTTCAGACCCGGCCTCAGGCTTCCCTGTGATAAGAGGCCCTGGCACACTGACAGCTAGCCCCCGGTCTGGAGGGGCCTGAGGACAAGATGTCCCAATCCGGCCATGAAAGGAGCTTCACTTCCAGCCTGGAACCCTTCACACCACGCAGGGGAGCCTCAGGCGATTTTGGAAATAAGAGAGGAAGGACGGAGCTGGGGGCTTACAATGACCCACTACGTGGTCCCACCCAGCCCACCGCCTCTGCCTCGGGGCAGAAGAAGAGCCTTGCAGAAAAAAGAAGAAAAAAAAGGCCTTGCAGAACAGTGGGGGACAAGCTGGGGCCGCACCTGCTGGCACCTCCCTTCAACCCGATCCGCTCCACGAGGGTAATAACATGGCAGAACATGCAACGGCCAGCACCATGCAGGCCCCCACAGGTAGGTGACCTGCCTCCTGGAAGCAGGTTGGAGCAGAATACAGACTCGGAAGGGGAGGCAGCCAGCCCAGCATCAGGGGCGCAGGAATAGGGAGTCCACACAGAAGATGATTAAGAGATAAAATACAGTGGATAAATTATAACCCTCCACTTCGAACACGGTCTCCTCTCAATTCAGCGTGTGTCGCCGCATAACCTTGTGCAGCCAGCCCGGAGGCGTACAGAGGGGTTGTGCTCCAAGCTTCGCAAGTTTTAAAAATGAAGCAAAATCCAAGAACAGCGTTTTGACAATCACAGAAACTTTCTCCAGGAGTTTCTCAATGCTCTAAGACTGGGTTTCTCAGCCACTCCCGAAAGCCTTCTGGATCAGCCATATGGTTGGAATGGTCTCAGTGGGAGACTTGACCATGAACTGTTGGCTCTGAGGCCTGAGCCCGGGAGTCCTGAAGCTGTGGAGGGAAGGGACACCAGCAGCCCACGGCTGGGAACACAGGTGGCTTTAAAAAGCACATCCCGGGAGTTTTGATGTCGGGTTGGGGCTGGGTTTACAGGGACCAATGAAGAATCTGACAACAGACTCTAGAAAACAGAATGTCAGCAATGGGCCAGGCTGGGGCTGAAGGGAGAGCCCAGGGATGCAGCCATCTGCTGCCTTCCCGGGGTCATTCAAAGTCAAGGCTTGGGTGAGGCATCTGCCTTCATCTCCAGATTAGCTGGAGAACAGGGACTGCGCCCTTGCATTCTCCCACATGCCCTCGGCACTCCGGGACTCCGCACGTGGCTGGCAAAGAAGAAATGTTGAGGAAGTGTGGCTGTGGAGCCCCGGGACAACCCCCGTCATCCCTCTGTCTGCAAATTTCAACAGGATGCGTCCTTGATGGAAAACTGTTGTGGTTCTAGTTCGTCCTCTCATTTTTGAGCTTCAAACTGTAGAAAGGGGTTTCCAAGCTCTCACGTTTAACCAATAATTTTTCTACCAGAATAGACAAATTCCCCCAAAGTCAATGCCAGAATGACCCCGACTGGAGTCACAAGGCAAGTGACATCTTGGCACCACTGCTGCCTTCTTAATGGAAACGGGGAATCATGTTTCTCAGTAGTGCGAACGCAGGCATTACTCACAGCAAATAAAAACACCTTTATCCAGGCGCCCCTCTGTAAAACCCCAGCTGCTAACTGACCCCTTGGTGCTGATTTACGCAACAAAGCCACCGTTCCCCAGACTGGCTTCCGACTTCTCTTGGAGCTGACCCAGGTCCTTAGCAGACAGCCAGCATCAGGGAGTAAAGCCAGTGGACAGAAGGGACCCTGGGGCCCGTGGGTGCGTGGCCGCTGGCTGAGCAGAGGCAGCAGTCACTCACATGGAGTGCCCTGAACTCCTGACCAAACGCCTGTGTCCACAGCCAGGAGCTGGGGGCTGCCACGGGGCACATGGCTCAAGGATCCCAGGGCACTACGGCCTCCCAAGTTCTGCTCATGATGGAGTCACCATGGGGACTGGCTGCTACGGAACAGAGACACACACTGACCAGGGAGCTGGGAGCAGGCACCGGAGCTACGGCCAGGAGGCCAGGAGGGCTATGGCCCAGATAAAGGACAGAACCAAACAGACCAGCTATAGCTTCACAGAAGTCGGCCCCCCGGAGCTGGGCTAAGATCCTACCCTTGGCGTCTGGCGCCTGACCCCCCACCAGAGGAGGGGAGATTGGAAGACGAGCCTGGCCCAGCCCGCCATCCTTAGCCGGACGTGACTATGTACTTCATGCCTATGGAAACAGATAAGCCAGGATCTTTAGTGCCCCAAAACGAATACATATAATCTTCATCAGTTCTGAAGTTTCAAACAGAAATAAGAGAAATTTTCTACAGTATGAGTGCATCCCGTCAGCTGAAAGAATGTTTAAAAGCTGCTCCAAAAATGCCGTTACCAAGGATGACAGATACGGCTCCATCAGTATCTGACTCTGGCAGGAGTGGGGATGTGATCAAACCCTACATAGACAGACACAAGCGGGCACTTTGGGGATACAACAGAGAGGTTGCAAAGCTTCCACTTTGAGACATCCTTTCTCCCCAGACCACTGCATCGCTGCATCTGAGTCCTGCTCGTGTAATAGGAGATTTAATAGAAACAAGTCAAAGAGGGGATATTAAGGCAATATTACACAAATTATTCGATGACATTAGTTAGCACAGAGCAGGGTCCTAAGGAGCAGAAAAGGCAAAGTTCTAAGAATACATATCACAACCAATATTTACTGGCCTTTTTAAATGCCAGTTATATGTGAACATGAATCTGATTCCTTCAAGTGCCAACTTCTGACACCCATTCTCCCTAAAAAGTGCTTCCAGACACATGACTACGTAATCCACCCTGGAGACACAGCATTCATATCCACACAGGAAAGGTGCTGGAAGTCTCGCTGTAAAGGATGGTGTTGGATTTTGTTTACACCTGCATTTATAACGCCCGGTATTCATCCATCCAACCATCCGTCCGTCCATTGGTGACTCGCTGAGCACCCAGCCGCAGGTGCTGGGCACGGAGAGTTAGGAATCGTACCCTCTCTGCATGGAGAAGGCCACTAACAGGTTAGCAAATCCGCAAGCTAGAGACTAACATGCAGTGATTGCCGCTCGCATGAGGAGAAACAGGTGCTGAGGTCACAGGGACCTACCAGGGGCCCCTGGAATCCAGGTGCATGGGACAGGCACCCTGAGGAGATAATGTTTATGATGCAGGGCCACATGGCAAGGTGGCCTCATCGAGCAGGTCTGGGAGAAGGCAGCTTCAGGCAGAGGGAGGGCAGGCACAAAAGCCAGGAGAACACGAGTGTCCTTAAAAACACACAGGAGGGGGACACCTGGCTGGTTCAGTTGGTGAAACCTGCCTCCAGCCCAAGTCATGATCTCAGGGTCCTGGGATCAAGTCCCGCATCGGGCTCCCGGCTCAGCACGGTGTCATTCTCCCTCTGCTCCCCTCCCTCTGCTCCTGCGTGCGTTCTCTCTGACCTATAAATAATAAATAAAATCTTTAAAACACACACACACACAGGAGGGTCCATGTGTCTGAGATACAGTGAGCAAGGGGAGATGAAGGCCTTATAAGTTGGGGCACACTTCATTAGGTAGTTAGGACAGGGCTGTAAAGAGGTTGTCTTTTAGATAAGCTCTCTGTTTCCCAGGATGATAAAACAATAGAAGGCCTTTGTCTCTGGGCAATATTCTCGGAGCCTGCGTGTTCTGCTTATCCTGATATGTTCCTGAGCCTGTCTGGGTTTTAAATGCTGAGTATCTTGGGACAAAGGATTTTTCAGGGAAGTCGATCTACAAAACCAAATAAACTTTTCATTACTGAAACCTTATGGAAACCACAGCCTGCATGGGCTATGCATAGCAGAAAATATTCATTTATTTCTAAAATCCTTTACAAAATTTGTTTTGATTTTCAAGAGAAAGCTTGTGTAACCTGCAAGACTGCAAAGTTAAAGAGGAAAAACCACACACCTGTCTCAATAAATATAGAGAAGCATTCTGGATCACATGACACAGACTCCTAACTGCAACACAGGGAGCCGCCTTCCCTACACAGCATCTACCCGAGTCCCACAGCACCCATTCTGAATGGTGACACTGACCATTGTTAACTGAAGTATAGTTGATCAACCACATCCTCTTGCTTTTAGGCGTAACCACGGTGATTCCATATTTCAGAACTTCCGACAGTGCCACCAGGGGTGTCCCCATCTGTCCCCACACACTGTGGTCACAGTACCGCAGACAGTACTCCCGGGCACATGTTCCTTCCTGCAACCCACCTCACAGCTGGAGCTCTCTCAGCCCTGCTCACCCGCCCCTCCCATGCTCATTCCAATGCTTCTCTTACTTGTTCATTTGTTTTGTTGTTGTTTTGTCACACACACCTGTCCTTCTCTGTGTGATTTAGTTCACCTTAGTTCTTTGTTTTCATTTTGACTCTTTTAGAAAAAGACCTCGAAAATGAAAGCAGAGACCACGCATGCTCTCAGCCTGGGGAAGCCTTCGCCTGTGCTCAGTGACAGTTGAGTTCAGTGCTTTGAAGACTTCCATAAACACGGTCTATGCTAAGTCCGAGAAACAGTGAGCTGTCAGGGTCAGGAAAGCTCCGTCCACACCCACGGTCAGCGGTGGCGGGCAGAGAGATGGAGCCCTTGCCTGCACCGGCACTGCCTCCCCTGCGTCAGCCCAACCTGCCGCAGAGACAGTCAGCCTCCTGCCCGCCGCCAGGTAACCTCTGAGTAGTGTTTTAAACTCACACACACCCACGCAGCATGAACCGCACAGAGCAGACACCGCCACGCTTGCCAGAGGTAGGCAGATACCTCACCGTGACGAGAGACCATAGGGTAACTGCTGGAAACAAATGTCCACTGTGCCGCCCTGTCTCCCTATCGAACCCCGCATGGAACAGATGCAACAGTGACTGAGCGGATCTCCCGAGTACCACATGTCCCTGCCTCCACAGGCAAGTCTGAGCAGCACGTACTCTGCTTTCTCAGGCGCCGGGGCTGGGAGTGCGTGGCTGGCTAGGGACGCAGCAGTGAGCACCCCTCGTGTGACCTGAGCTGCTCTCCTGCCTCGACAGAAAAAACCAGGACCTGGGTTGTCACTGCGGTAGAGGAGGGACACGGTGACTTGTGACACCAAGCCTCCTTTGCCCCCGGCCTGGCCACAATGCTCTCCCGCCAGCACGTGGGGTGGGCCCCTGGGCTGGCGTGGCTGGTCCCCACAGCCCCACGAGCAGCCTCCACGGATGAGGCGGGCACTTTACCTTCTTGTGCACAGAAGGGCTTATCACTGGGGATCCAGCCGAGGGTTCCATTGAGATGTCTCACACACAGCCTCTTTGTAGGGCCCTTGAGCGTGAACCCGTCTTGGCAGTAAAACTGGGTGACAGACCTTTCAAGGAAAAGCCCTCCACCGGGTGTCCTGAAGCCATTCTCAGGGACGCCTGGGTCAGCGCACACCGGAAGGTCATCGAACCCTACATTGACAGAGAGAAGAAAAGGAGCCTCTAAATATGCACTTCGGAGGCTGGGAGCCTTCCTGCATCCGTGACGGACACTGTCACACACCGTGAACACCTAGCCACTCCAGTCAGCCCAGAACGTCCGCATTCTGCTGTGTGCCACACTGGCTTCTTGCTTAGAACAGTGCCCATTAGTGTCCTCTGGCCCACGGCCAACCACAGCCCTTCACGGATACTTGGGGAGGAGCAGGGGAGAAGGAAGCCACACAGGGAACCACACTGCAAGGCGCTGCAGGGGGGTGAGGTGGGAGGGTCAGGGAGGAGGCATGGACTCTGAGCCACCCAGCAGGACAGACGACATTTCAGGGACAGAACCAAGGATGTAGGACTGGCAGGGCTGGCATTCTCACAGGACAGGCCTGAGCCACCAACACTTATCTCCTCCCCGCCCCTCACCCTGGCCCCACCCGCCAGGCCTCATCCAGACTTCCCGAGGATCTGGGTACCTTCCTAACCTCCCAGCCACCCTTTCTGTGCTCCAACAAGAGCTCAACCACCACCAGTGCTGAGCCGGGAGCCCTCCAAGGATGAGTCACCTGTTCATCTTTGTGACCCTCAGAATCCGCCATTGCCCCACGTCACCCCCATGCACATCCCAGGGAGGACCGAAGGCCCACAGACTCCCATAGACTCCACCGTCACCCCATATAGGGGAAGGGGTGACCCTCGAAAGCCGGGCTATGTGGAAGCAGCGTGGATCCACGGAGCAGGATGGGCGTCCTGAAGGTCCACAGATGACCCCAGGAGGGGCCAGGATCAACACTGCTGGGGGTGGAGAGCAGGAACATGCTGGCTTTGTGTCTTCAGTTTGCAGCAGAGTGTAGGGTGCCCCCTCCGTGGGGGCTGGTCAACGTCAGCCCTCAGAGACAGCCTCAGGTAGCCCCAGGGGGCTGGGGTACATGCAGAGAGCAGGGGAGGGCTGAGGCCCCCAGGGAGCCAGCCAGAGGGAGGACGGGCCTTCGGAGACCAGTGGAGTGCAGACGGTGGAGCTCAATCTAGGAAAAGGGACGGCTCTGCCAGGCCAGGCACAGCCCTTCTAGCAGGAGCCTCAGGGGACAACGCAGGGGGAGCTGGAGACGGACCCTGACCGCCACATGTGGGCCCAGGGCTGGGACTTGATGCAGGCTGCAGAGATGTGAAGGAGTGGAGACTATTGTGCTGTTTTGGTTGTTTTAGGTGCAGCGGACACAAGCTGTGACGTTAGTGTCAGGCACACAACACAGTGATGCAACAAGTGTGCGCGTTACGCTGTGGTCACATGAGCATGGCTGCCATCTATCACCACACTTCAATGTGACAACAGCACTGACTGTGTTCCTGTGCTGTGCCATTCCCTCTGGGACTTATTCATCCCATTCCTGGAAACCGGACTTCCCTCTCCCCCCTCTCCCTCTTCCCTCTCTTCCCTCCCCTCTGCAACCACCAGTCTGTTCTCTGTACTCTCTGTACTCAGGGCTCTGCTTCTCCTCTTGTTTTGCGTTTGAGATACCACAAAATCATAAAGTATTTCTTCTCTGATTGACTATGTCACTTAACATAATACCCCCTTAGCTCCATCCATGTCCTTGCAAATGACAAGATTTCATTCCAGAATTGATGGCTGAGTAATATTCTGCTCTGTATATACCCCACCTTCATTATCCATTCATCCATCAATGGACACTTGCCTTGCTTCCACACCCTGGCCACTGTAGATAATGTTGCCATGAACATCGGGGTGCATGTCATCTTTTTGAATTAGTGTTGTCATTTGCTTTAAGTAAATACCTAGTAGCACAATTGCTGGACCATCAGATAGTTCTCTTTTTAACATCTTGAGGAACCTCCATACTGTTTTCCAGAATGCCTACACCAGCTTGCATTCCCACCAACAATGCAGGAGGGCTCCCCTCTCTCTGAATCCTTGCCAACATCTGTCGTTTCCTGACTTGTTAATTTTAGCCATTCTGTCTGGTGTGAGGTACTATCTCACTGTGGTTTTGATTTGTATTTCCCTGATGCTGAGCGATGTTGAAAATTTTTTCATGTGTGTGTTGACCATTTGGATGTCTTCTTTGGAGAAATGTCTGTTCATGTTTTCTGCCCATTTCTTGACTGTATTATTTATTCTTTGGGTGTTGTGTGAGTTCTTCATATACTTTGGATATTAACCCCAGAGACTGAGACTTGAACAAAGGCACGACTGAGACCAGACCGGTATCTCAGCCCCTTCACACTCAGGCAGAGGACGGACTTGTACAGAGCCCTCAGGAGGCAGAAAGACCATCAGAAATGCCTCCCAGACCCCAGCTGCACCAGGATCTGCAAGATGGTTTGTGAAAGGCAGACCCACAGACCAGGCACTCTCTGGGTGGGTGGGGGAAGGGCTGTCCTCCTGGAAAGCTCTCCAAACAGCTCTGAGCAGCCAGTCTGGCTCCTGAGAGGGCCAGCAGTTGAGGTATGTGGAGTCTCAAGGCTGCAGGAGATACTAAGGACCCAGATGCATGAATTCAGGGACCAAAGGGACAGTGGCTGAGGGGAGGGGAATGGGTTAAGAGAGGCGTCAAGGACAGCTGCCAGGTTTGGGTGCTGAGCCTTCACACAGAGAGAGGGGACGTGGTGAAGACCAGCCTGGGGACCAGTCCCAGTGCAGCAGGTAGATACGATGAGTCTGAGTCCTCAGGACACGGAGGCCAGGTGGGGGAGACCAGCTGGAGAGCCAAGTTGAAGCCATGATGTCCTGAGCTGCACGTATACAAAAAGGTGGCAGCTGAAGGCACAGCTGGATGGCCTCCTGGGCACAAACACAGGGAGAGGATGACACATGCATCAGACAGAGGCAGGCACCAAGGGCATGAGAACACAAGATGACCTGAGCAAGGCTGCAGAGGCAAGGGAAGGCGTCTCAGCCCCAGGGCAGGCAGCTGGACAAAGGTGCAATATGCAGCCGCTGGCTGCAGAGGGAGGAGCCGGGACAGCTACAGGGCTGGATGGGCCTGGGGAAGCCTGCCTCCCCATGTGTCAGGGGGAGGCTGCAGCAAATGTGCACTGCCTGTTCATAGTGCTGCGTGGGTACAGAAGATCACAGGGCACAAGCCATCCCTGCATTAGGGTCAAAGGAGGAACTTTCCTGTTACCATATTAAAAATTGAGAGTGAAAGAGATCTGAACCCATGTCCACACAGCAGGGAGAAAGAAAGACTGCAAATGAGTAGCAGATGGGTAAGCAGGTGTGTGGGTGGAGAGGGGACCCAGCCCTATAGGAGGGCCTTGACTTCCACTAAGGTGCAAAAAGGGTTTTTCAGAACCCCCACTGAGGAAAGGATGGTCCCCATGGTGTATTCACCCTCTGGGACTAGCTCACGGGTACCTCCCAGGAGCCATCCCTCCCTCTGCAAAGTATGACCAGGAGCCTCTCTTCCCATCAAGGCACCTGTGCCCAGCTCTCCTAGAGCACCCTTCACACTGGCAGTGTTGTGCTCTGCCTCACAGTCTCTGCCACTGGGCTGTGAACTCCTGGGGTTGGAGAACCATGTTTTATCCTTCACTTCCAGCATGCCACAGGTGCTGCTAATGAAGGACAGAGAGAGGGAGGGTGAGATGGAAGGAGGGAAGGACAGAGGGAGGGAGGGAGGATGAATGGGTGGATGGATGGTTGGAGGATGATGGAGGATGGATGGGTGGGTGGGTGGGTGGATGGAAGGATGGTGGATGGATAGATAGATGGATGGGTGGATGAATGGATGGAGGATGTTGGATGAGGGGACGATGGAGGATGGATGGACGGATGGATGGAAGGGTAGATGGGGGGATAGATGGATGGAGGATGGTGGACAAGGTGAAAATGGAGAATGGATGGACAGGTAGGTGGATGGATGGGTGGGGAGGGATGAGGGGATGGATGGATGGAGGATGGTAGATGGATGAGCAGGGTGGGTGAGTAGACAAATAGATGGTGGATGGGGAGATGACAGAGGATGGATGGACGGGTGGGTAGGTGGGTGGGTGAATGGATGGATGGATGGACAGATCAATGATGGATGGGTGGATGGTGGATGAGGGATGATGGAGGGTTGAATGGATGGGTAGGTGGGTAGATGGATGGATAGGGGATAGATGGATGGTGGATGGGTGGATGGTGGATGGATGGTGGGTGGGTGGATGGATGGATGGATGGATGGATTTCACAGATGAGGGGGGCACTAAGTGCTCTCCCCCAGCACAGACAGGCTTTCTCCTATACCTTCTTACCCCCTCCCTTCTTCCACCCTGAGTGGACTGAATTCCTTAATTTTTTTACAACCTTCTTCCCATCCATACCTGCACACAACGCCCCCTCCTCCGCCCTCTGCAACATAGGGCCAGAGGTGGGTCTGGGTTGGGACTGGACTGAGCCATGTGTTTCTCTCACAAACACACACTCCTTGGGCAGTCACACCCACTAACAAATGAGCCACAGTGATCACCAATCACAGACACAAACCCTCAGCTTGTCACACCCCCTGCCCCAGGCAGAGAGCCATTCTCCGTGAGAGGAGAGATAACCCAGGTGAGTGCTGAGCCTCTGTGAGTGCCAGCCCTGGATCCATCAGAATGACTCCTTTTCTCACAATAAATGGGAAAAATATGCTGTGAGGATAGAGGAATTTCCTCAGGGACCCAGCTCTGTGCTCTCCTTACTTATTCCTTCCCTGCCCCCATCCCCTGCCTACGAGGGACCACAGTTAGCTTCTGCATCTCTGCATCCAGACAGTCCGAGACTCAAGATGCCACTGGCCAGGCCCAGCCACAGACAGGAGTGAAGAGACAGCCATCAGAAAGTGGGATGGTGGGGCACCTAGATGGCTCAGTGGGTTAAAACCTCTGCCTTCAGCTTGGATCATGATCCCAGAGTCCTGGGATTGAGCCCCGCATTGGGCTCTCTGCTCAGCAGGGAGCTTGCTTCCCCCTCTCTCTCTGCCTGCCTCTCTGCCTAC